GAAGAAGAAGAAGAGAGAAAACAAGGGATTGAAGACCTATTTGAAGAAATAATAACTGAAAACTTCCCTAACCTAGCAAAGGAAAGAGGCATACAAGCCCAGGAAGCACAGAGTCCCAGTCAAGATGAATCCAAACAGGGCCACACCAAGACATCATAGTTAAAATGCCAAAGCTCAAAGACACAAGAGGATCTTAAAATCAGTAAGAGAAAAGTGGTTAGTTACCTACAAGGGAGCTGCCATGAGATTGACAGCTGATTTCTCAACAAAATCTTTGCAGGCAATAAGGGATTGGCATGAAATGTTCAAAGTGATAAAAAGCAAGGAGCTACAAACAAGACTACTCTACCCAGCAAGGACATTATTTAAAATTGAAGGAAACATAAAGAGCTTCTTAGACAAGAAAAAGCTAAATTAATTCATTACCAAAAAGCCAGAAAATTTAAAGGGGCTTTTTTAAGAAGAAGGGGGGGGAAACAAACAAACAAACAAACAAACAAACAGAAGCATATCAAAAATATGAATGATAAAATGCCAGTAACTATATACCTGCCAATAATCATTTTAAGTGTAAATGGATTAAATGCTCCAATCAAAAGGCAGAAGGTAGTTGAATAAATAATAAAACAAGACCCATATATATGCTGACAAGAAGAGACCTCAGATTAAGAGACACACACACTTAAAGTAAAGGGATGGAAAAGTATATTTTATGGGAGTGGAAATGAAAAAAAATCTGGGGTAGCAGTATTTGTATCAGACAAAATAAACTTTAAAACAAAAACTATAATAAGACACAAAGAAAGACCTTATATAGTGATAAGGGGTTCAATCGAACAAGAGGATATAACCCTAGTAAACTATGCATCCAACAAAGGAGCACCTGAATATATAAAATAAATACTGATGGACAGAGGCAGAAATAGAAAGTAATACAATCATAGAAGGGGACTTTAAAAATCCACTGACACCAATGGACAGATCTTTCAGATAGAACATCAACATGGAAAAAGCAGCCTTAAATGACACACTAGACCAGTAGATTTCACTGATATTTTTAGAGCATTTTATCCCAAAGCAGCAGAATACACATCCTTTTCAAATACACATGTAACATTTTCCAAGATAGACTACATTTTAACCTGCAAAACAAGTCTCAACAAATTTAGGAAGATTGAAATCATATTAAGCGTCTTTTTTTTTTTTACCACAATGGAATGAAACTAGAAATCAATTACAAGAAAAGAACCTGAAAAACATACAAACACATGGAGGCTAAATAACATATTACTAAATAATGAATGGGTCAACAATGAGGTCAAGGAATAAGTCAAAAGATACCTTGAGACAAATGAAAATGAAAACACAATGACCCCAAATCTATGGAACACAGTGAAAGCAGTCCTAATACGAAATTTCATAGCAATTGAAGCCTACTTCAAGAAACAAGAAAAATCTCAAATAAGCAGTGCAACTTTACACCTAAGGGAACTAGAAAAAGAACAGCAAACAAAGCCTAAAGTGAGTAGAAGGAAGGCAATATTAAAGATCAGAGTGGAATTAAAATACAAGCTAAAAAAAATACAAAAGGTCAATGAAACCAAGAGCTGTTTTTTTAAAATATAAATAAAATTGATAAACCTTTAACCAGACTCATCACCAAAAAAGGAGAGGACACAAATAAATAAAATCAGAAATGAAAGAAGAGAAGTGACAGCCAACACCACAGAAATACCAAAAAAGAAATTAATTAGTTAATTAAAAATAAAATAATACTACAAGCAACTATACACCAAAATATTGGACTATCTGGCAGAAATGGATAAATTATTAATTTGTAGGAAAACATTCACTCTTCCAAGGCTCAATCAAGAAGAAACAATATCTGAACTGACCAATTACTATTAATGAAATAGAATCAATAATCAACAAGCTCTCAACATACAAATGGACCAGATGGCTTCACAGGTGAATTTATAAAACGTTTAAAAAATAATTAAGACCTTTTCTTCTCAAACTATTAAAAAAAACAAGAGGAGAAAGGCTCCCAAGCTCATTCTACGAGGCTACCATTACTCTGATTCCAAAATCAGACAAATACATTACAAAACAAACAAACAAAACTGTAAGCTGGTATCCCTAGTGAACATAGATGCAAAAATCCTTAACAAAATATTAGCAAACCGAATTCAGCAATACGGTAAAAAGATCATACACCACAATCAAGTGGGATTCATACATGGTATTTAAGTTTTATTAAATATTGTCATATTAATTAATGTGATACACCACATAAACAAAATGAAAAGTAAAAATCATATGGTCATATCAATAGATGCAGAAAAATCATTCCACAAAATTCAGCATCCATTTATGATAAAAATTCTCAACAAAGTGGAAAGAGAGGGAGCATATCTCAATATAATAAAACCATATATGACAAACTCACAATACTATGTACATAGAGTCCCAAAGATTCCACACAAAAAAACTATTAGAACTGATAAATGAATTTACTAAAGTAGTGGGATACAAAATTACTGTTAAATTGGTTACATTTTTATATACCAATAATGAACTATCAGAAAAAGAAATTAAGAAAACAGTCTTATTTACAACTGCATCAAAAAACATAATAAAATACCTAGAAATAAATTTATCCAAGGAAGTAAAAGACCTGTACTCAGAAAATTATAAGACATTGAGGAGAGAAATTAAAGCAGATACATATAAATTGAAACATATACCATGCTCATGGATAGGAAGAATTAATATAGTGAAAATGTCAATACTACCCAAAGCAATCTATAGATTCAGTGTAATCCCTTTTAAAATACCAATGGCATTTTTCACAGAACTAGAACAAATCATCCGAAAGTTCTTATGGAACCATAGAAGACCCCTAATAACCACAGCAGTCCTGAGAAAGAGGAACAAAGCTGGAGGTATTACACTATCTGATATCAAAGGATACTACAAGGCCATAGCAATAAAAAAAGCATGATATTGGCATAAAAATAGACACAAAAATCAATGGAACAAAGTAGAAACCCCAGAAATAAACCCATGCTTATATGGTCATTTAATTTATGACAAAGGAAGGAATAATATACATTGGGGTAAAGACCATTTATTCAATAAGTTGTGCTGGGAAAACTGGACAGATACATGCTAAAAATGAAACTGGAATACCTTCTTACTCCATATACAAAAATAAACTTAAAATCAATTTAAGACTTAAATGTAAGACCCAAAACCATAAAACTCTTACAAGAAAATATAGAAAGTAAACATCTCATTAATTACCCTTAGTGTTATTTTTACTGATATATCTCCTCTGTCAAGGGAAACAAACTAAAAATAAACAAATGGAGCCAACTGAATTTGACTTCAAGGGAAGGGAAGTAAAAGCAAAAATAAATTAATGGGGCCGGCCGAGTGGTGTGTTGGTTAAGAGCTGGCTTGGGACACCAGCTCTGAGCAGCAGGGCCCAAGTTTGGATCCCACATGCAGGCCAGTGACACAGCCGTCTACATCTAAGATGGTGAACAACAGCTCGACTTGGAGCTGGGCTGCCATGAGTCACCGGCAACAGCATAGGCTGCAGCCCCTGCTGCAATGGGCTGCCATAAGCTACCATGTGTGGCTGGCAGCCAGTGTGAGTGGCTCGCATCCAGTGTGAGCTGCAAAGAGCCACCGTGAGCAGCTGTCCGGAGGCCGGCGACCAATCTGCCTCACCTGGGAACAGTGCAGTGATAATACCAACATGAGCCAGTGAAGCAATGTCCTCCACAACTGGACTGAAGAACAAAAAGACAACAACTTATCTGTTCCCCTTCTCCAATTCCCCAATGCTGTTCTCCTCCCCCAATTCTCCAATAAAATCTTTAAAAAATTAAAAAAAATAAATGAATGGAACTATATTAATCTAAAAAGCTTCTGCACAGCAAAAGAAACCATCAACAAAACAAAAAGGCAATCAACTGCATAGGAGAAGATATTGGTTGTCGGAAATGTCATGACGCATGTTTGCAACAGATGGCACTAGTTCATTTTTGGAAGTTCTAGTGTCATTCACATCTATGTTATTGCTATATCATTTGACAGCTGACAGTTCTAGCTTCATTCTAAAAAAAATGAGTGATTTGGTTGAGTTTTGGAGATTTTACAAGTTGAAGATGGAAGACCAAACTGCATTTTTGCCATATTTTACTGTTTTACTTCCATATGGGGAGGAATGCACGTCAAGCTTCTGAAAAGTTTCATAAAGTTTATGGTGACAATGTTCTATAAGAACATCAGTGCCAACGATGGATCACAAAATTCTGTGCCGGCGATTTTGATCTCAACGACGCTCTTTGGTCAGGGAGGCCCACCGAGGTTGATGATGACAAAAAAAGGCATTGATCGAGTCAAACCCACATTACATGACACGAGAGATTGCAAAAACATTGAACATCCATTATTCAAGCGTTCACAACCACCTGAAGAAGCTGGGATACATAAGCAAGCTCAATATTTGGGTTCAAAGAAGTTCAAAAAATAACTCAAAGAAGTTCATTTGATGGTGCGTATAAACATCTGCAATATGCTCATTAAACGTGAGGAAAACGATCCTTTTTTGAAGCAACTGATAACTGGTGATGAGAAGTGGGTTGTTTACAACAATGTGGTGCACAAACGGTCTTGGTCCCGACGTGATGATTCACCTCAAATGACATAGAAAGCAGACATTCATCAGAGGAAGGTTATGCTCTCAGTGCGGTGGGATTTTAAAGGTGTTGTCATTTTCGAGCTCCTACCAAGGAACCTAACAATCAATTCGAATGTGTACTGTCAGCAACTGAACAGATTGAACAAATCTATCATCCAGAAATGTCCAGAGCTTGTTAATTGTAAAGGAGTTGTGTTCCATTGTGACAACAGGAGACCCCACACAAGTTTGATTACCCTTCAAAAATTATTGGAGCTTGGATGGGATGTATTGCCACACCCACCATACTCGCCTGATCTTGTGCCATGAGACTTCCACTTGTTTCGCTCACTTCAAAACTCCTTGCGTTGTATAATGTTCATTGCAGATGAAGCTATAGATCAGCACCTTGTTCAGTTTTTCGCCGATAAAGACAGGTCCTTCTATGAACGAGGAATTATGAAGCTCACTGAAAGATGGCAAAAGGTTATCGAACAAAATGGGCAATATATCATTGATTGATCTTTGTTCTTTATATAAATATATGACCTTTGAAAAACATAGACAAAATACATCATGACTTTTCCGATGACCCAATATTTGCAAACTAAACCTCCGATAAGGGGCTAATATCGAAAATACATAAAGACCTCGTGCAATTCATCAACAAAAAGACCCAATAATCCAATCTAAAAAATGAGCAGAGGACCTGAACAGACACTTCTCCCAAGAAGACATACAAATGGCCAACAGATATATGAAAAGATGTTGAAATTCAGTAGCTATTAGGGAAATACAAATCAAAACCACATGAGATACCATCTCACACTTGTTAGAATGGCTATTATCAGCAAGACAAGTATTAAGTGTTGAAGTGGCTGTGGAGAACAAGGAACCCACATATACTGCTGGTGGGAATGTAAATTGGTACAGCCACTATGGAAAATAGTATGGAGGTTCCTCAAAATATTAAGACTAGAATTACCCTATGACCCAGGATTCCCTCTTCTGGGTATCTACCCCAATAATCTGAAAACAATTATCTGTAAAGATATATGTACTCCCATGTTCACTGCAGCATTATTCATGGTGGCCAAGACATGAAAACAAAACAAAGTGTCCTTCAATAGATAAAGAATATGTGGTACATATATACAATGGAATACTACTTGGCCATAAGAAAAGATAAAATACTGTCATTTGTGACAACATGGATGGATCTTGAGATTATCATGCTAAGTGAGATACATTAGACAGAGAAAGTTGAGAACCATATGATTTCACTCACATGTGGGATTTAAAACTGAAAGCAATAAAGAAACACGACAAACAAAAAAAAAACAAAAACTTATAGATACAGACAACAGTATAGTAGTTACCAGAGGGTAAGGTGGAGTGGTAGAAGAGGGAAAAGGGGATCAAATATATGGTTATGGAAGAACTGACTGTGTGGTAAACACACTGTGGAATATTACATTATATAAATGTACACTTAAAACCTATATAATTTTACTAACCAATGTCACTGTAATAAATTTAATAAAGATTAAAAAATAAATATTATTCATTATTAAGAATAAAAAATCAATACACAAATGGGAGTACATCAAACTAATAATTTTTTGCACAGCGAAAGCTATCATCAACAAAATGAAAAGACATTATTGAATGGGAGGAGATATTTGCCAATGATACATCTGATAGGGGTTAATATCCAAAATTTATTTAAAAACTCATACAACTCAACAACAAAAATAAAAAATTCAATTGAGAAATGGGCAGAGGACCTGAAAAGACATTTCTCCAAAGAGGTAATACCGATGGCCAATAGACATGTGTAAAGACATGCAACATCACTAATCATCAGAGAAATGCAAATTAAAAGCACAATGAGATATCACTTCACACCTGTCAGAATGGTCATCATCAATAAATTAACAAACAAGTGTTGGTGAGGATGTGTAGAAAAGGAAACCCTCGTGCACTCTTGTTAGGATTACAAATTGGTGCAGCCACTATGAAAAACAGTATGGAGGTTCCTCAAAAGGTTAAAAATAGAACTTTCTTATGACGTAGCAAGTCTACTCTGGGTATTTATCCAAAGAAATTCAAAACACCAATTTGAAAAGATATATGCACCCTTATATTTACTGCAGCACTATTTACAATAGCCAAGATATGGAAACAATCAAAATGCTCATCAATAGATGATTGGATAAAGAAAAAGTGGTACATATATACAGTGGAATATTATTCTGCCATAAAAAATGAAGTCTTACCATTTGTAACAACATCGATGGACCTAGAGAGTGTTATGCTAAGTGAAATAAGTCAAACCAAAAAAGACAAATACCATATAATCTCACTTATGTGTGGAATCTAAAGAACAAAATAAGCAAGCAAACAAAACAAACAGACTCTTAGGTACAGAGAACAAATTGGGAGGGAGGTTGCGGAGCTGGATGAGAAAGATGAAAAGATTAAGAAGTATAAATTGGTAGTTACAAAAAAGCCATGGGGATGTGAAATACAGTATGGAAAATATAGTTAATAATATTGTAAAAACTATAGTGTCAAATGGGTGCTAGACTTATCGGGGGGGGTAACGTCATAAATTATATAAATGTGTAACCACTGTGCTGTACACCTGAAACTAATAGAAAATAATATTGAATGTCAACTATAACTTAAAAAATAATCATGGGTTTATATAGTACAACATAGGGAATATATAGTTAATAACATTGTAATTACTATGCAGTGTTAGATGGGTAATAGACTTATTGGGGTTATCAGTTTGAGAGGTATATAAATGTCTAATCATTATGTTGTTTTGTACACTTGAAACTCAAAATATAAAAAATAAATAATAACTTACTCTCTTAGTAACTTTCAAATTATATGCAATGCAGTATTATTAACTATAGTCGCTACGCTGCACATTACATCCCCAGGACTTACTTGGTTTATAACTGGAAGTTTGTACCTTCGACCTTCTTTTGTTCCTGTTCTGCTCTTTATGCAGTGTCTTTGTGAGAGAGGAGGGACAGCTTTCCAAACACTGTTTTCTCCAAGTTCAGAGAGGTAATGTGACTTCTCCAAAGACCCTACCCAGTGAAAAGGAACAATATTTGAGTTTCCTCTCCTAGCTTGCAGTTGATCTCCTATGCTCGACTTTTTTAGAGCAGTCTTACCATACCATTCAGCATGATAATAGGCCAGGATGAAAAGCAAGGCAATGTATTAACTTTAGTCCTTTTACCTACCAGTTTGTCTGATTAATTCCAATGATCAATGTTAGGTTTGGTAGGAAAAAAAGGAAACAATTGATAAATAAACATTGCCCTCAGATGCTTGGTGCAGCTTTCACTGTTAAAGGATGATCTCTACCCTCCTCTAGCAGCTGAATTGGGCAGATGAACTGGGGGCAGGAGCCTTTGATTCCACAATTATAGTGTCATAGAGTTAAGACAAAATAGAAAGCACCACTCTTAGTTTGAGGGACTAAGAGGACCTAAGATATATGTAGGATATCATTCCCTTATACCAAGCTTTAGGTAAAAAAGAAGTGTCTCCTGATCTTGAATAAAAGGTTGTGCTACCAAAAAAATGCTTGGAAAATCTATGATATAGTCCCACCATCTTATTTTACAAATGGGTAAACTGAGATCAAAAGAGAGGATGTGACTTTAAAGCTCTTTTCAAACTTTAAATACTGAGAATTAATTTCAATTCTTACTCTTAATAGCTTATAAGAGGAAAGCATACTAATAGCTAATCTATTTGAATATTCATTACATGCTAGGAAACTGTTCTATGTGCTAAATATTGAATCCTCACAGCAGCATTGTAGGGTTGATATTATCATCCTCGTTTTATAGATGACAGAACTAGGCACAGAGAAGGTAAGCAAATTGCCCATGGCCTCATAGATGGCTTTAGAGTTGGTATTAGAGCCCAAAAAATCTGACTTCAGAGCCTATGAGCTTAAATAATATGCATCCCGTCTTTTAAACAGAAAGGGCAGGATTACCAAAATAATCGCCATCAAACTCTCTCCTGCTTGTCAAAAATCCACATTGGGTCCTGATTGCAATGATACTGAATCTTATTTTTTTTTTAGCTGAGCCATCCTACCACCTGTTGGCAACTCAGCGGCAGCTCCGCTCGGGCTGGGCATCGAACTGCTGTTGCTCAGAGCTTGCACTCTTGAGTAGGCTCTTAACTAACTGAGCCACTCTGACTAGCTTCACTGACATTTGAGGAATTTTAACCATGATAAAATGAGAATCCCAACTCACCAACGATACCTTGCATTACTACTCATGTTCTCCACCATCTGACCAAGTTCATTTCAGTCTTTGGTGCTATTATATGCACAATATATGGAAGATCTCTTCCCTCTAGGAAACTTTACACCTAAAGCATCTCCACAGCTGTCATGGAGAGCAGAGCTTCTTGTTGCATACTGTTATTTTGGTTGCTATTGTCTCTGCCACATAATGCAGTTCCATTTCTAGAACTGTTCAGATTATTGGTGTAAAACCCATTGAAAGAGTGTGGTTCAAGGGATGCACTCAGTGGACAAGATAGCTCTCTGGAGCTTCTGAGTTATGCTGGAGTTTAAGGGATGGGAGTTTTGGAAAGTGTAGAAAAGAGAGCCCAACAACCAAGTCAGTGGTTTTCTGCTAACTGAAAAACTCCATGCCCATTTTTACCATCATAAACTCAGCATAACGTGTCTGTTTTTTAGAGTTTCACATGTGACAATCTTGGAACAGGGCCAAGCTATAGAATCAGCTCTATGCTATCCAAATGCCAGCATGCCTGTCACAGAAAATATCTAGAGACAATGTTGATAGTAAATGAAAGAAACTTTATGGAGCTGTTTCAGTTGAAGGAGAACCATGCAAGACTTTTGTTCTGGAAGATAGAATAAGGGGATTTGTATTGGGTTGTCGGAAAACTCATGACACATTTTTGCAATGAAAAACATAAAAAAAAATACATCATGGCTTTTCCGACAACCCAATATTAAGGCATGAGCAAATTGATTTTCAATGAACCTCATTTAGTATCTAATATTTAAGGAGTTCTGATTGATGTGCAATGTTAAATAAGTACAAAATGAGAAAATCTTCTATCTTAAAGATGTTGAGGACTCAACAAGCCCATCTCTCTTCCCTTCTATTCCTAACCAGGGGCACAAATGAGGTGCCCAAAAGTTGAGTTTAAAACATATGTTTGGCCAGCATGTGGTTTTAAAAAGTTTTGAATTTAAGTCCTTTGTTTGGGCATGTCCTGTCCTGATCACCACAGTTCTCACCACTCTCATTTGTTTTGTATCCAATCATTTCACAGCTTTATGTTATCATCCTGTCCCCTGATGACGTTTCAATTTGTAACCCCTGACAAACTACCTCAGAGTGATCAAATTATATACTGTGAGGGGAGGGGTGGCCACCCAAGACAACATATAACTGTTTCAAACTTGAAAAAAGAGGGAATGAAATACATTACTCTTACAAATTCAAGTGAGTTGTGATATACTAGTAATGTGTATGTTGAAGGATTTATAGTCAATAATATTATAGTACATATTTGAAAGTTACCAAGAGAGTAAATCTTAGAAGTGCTAATAAGAAAAAATGCTTTTGTAATTTTGTACGGTGACACATGGTAACTAGACTTACTGTGGTGATCATTTTGCAGTGTATACAAATATTGACTCATTATATTGCACATCTTAAACTAATATAATGTTATATGTTAATTATACCATAATAAAAACGATTAAGCCAGACTATGATGGGAAAGATACCAGGCTATTTTGTTCTTAGTCATGAACAAAGTGAAAAACATTTTTCTAGCATAATCAAAATATTATTGACTCTTTTTGCACCAAGTACCTACTTCTGAAATCTTTTATTGTTCTTTTTTTTTTTTTTTTTTTTTTTTTTTTAGCTAGCCATCCTGCCACCTGTTGGGAGCTCAGCAGTAGCTCAGCTCGGGCCAGGAATCACACTGGCAACCCTGTTGCTCTGAGCTCGCACTCTTGAGTGAGCTCTTAATCAACAGAGCCACTCAGCCAGCCCTAAAATCTTTCTTTTTTAAAAAAATATTTTATTGGGGAATCAGGAAAGGGGAACAGACAAGTTGCTGTCCTTTTGTTTTTCAGTCTACGTATGGAGGACGTCACTTCACTGACCCATGTTGGTATTATCATTGTGCTCTTCCCGGGTGAGGGAGGTCGGTTGCTGGCCACTGGACGGCCGCTCATGGTGGCTCACGCTGGCTGCCGGCCGCTCACAGTAGCTTACGGGAGCCCAATGCAGCTCCACTGCAGCCTACATCTTCACAGGCAACTCATGGCATCCCAGCTCCTGGTCGAGGTGTTGTTTACCATCTTAGCTGTAGAGGGCACAGCATCACTGGCCCACATGTGGGGTCTGAACTGGGGCCCTGGTGCTCAGAGCTGGCGTCCCAAGCCAACTCTTAACCAGCACCTGAAATCTTTTTTAAAACTCCATTCATTACTCCTTCCACTTGAGAGAAGGCAGGAAAAGGAAGTTAATGAAGGACAAACTCAAGTCAATAAACATGGGTATTTTTTAGCAGATGGCATGGGCATAAACTTTAATTTGTTAAGAAGGATGAAATAAACACGTTTTAGGTGGGGGAAAAAACTAACATTTTCCAATGTTGATGCTCATGACGGTGTTCCTATCAGTATAATAAATTACTTAGATATTAACAAATTTGAAATAAAGTACCTTACCTGAGGCCCTGTGTTAAAGACATTGGTGCTTTCAGATTCCTGTGTTTAGTTGAATTGATCAACCTAGTTTAGCTCAATGGTTCTCTGCTGGGGGATGTACATAAACATATTAGAAACTTCTCAGGGGACGTCCCCACAGCAAATCACTCTGTGAAATGAGATACGTTGCTGACTGAAGTATGCTGTTTGTATGAATGGTGTGGAGCCCCCTTAAAATGGTTGAGATCTACCAACAGAGACTATTTTGACAAGTTTCCCAAGAAAGGGCTGGTTTGTTAGCTGCAATTTGCTTTCTCCTTGAATACATGCTTCTGTGGTTCCCTTGTGAAATTGAGAAATGAAGAATATAAAACCTGTCTTTCTTTATTTTCTTATTTTGTGGACTCCTAGATGAAAATGCCTGATGAATTAATCTTGGCTTTCCCTAGACTCTTAGTCATTTCTTGGACCTTAATGTTCTGTTTCTGCTTTATAAACTACCTTGTAAGTGAGGAAAACACTTGCTGGGTTGGTTCCTTCTTGATTTGTGTCTGATTCAGTGTGTAGTTAGTCGAAGCTGCTCAAAAACTGTTTATTAATTAACCACCCACAGGGTTTCTTGAACTGTACCAAGCTCTGCCTACTCTGTGGCCAAGTTGAATTTTGATCACATCTGCACTGAAGGCTACAGGTAGCAAAACAAGGAAAAGAGAGTTGACAGAAATCTTCATCTCCTATTAAACACCAGCACTCAACCCTGTCAGATTCCCTGTGGCGCACAAGCCCTGAGGGTATACTTGGAGATAGTCCCTGGATGTTAGAACAGGCTTGTTTCATTTGGAGGCCAGGCACAGAGTGAGGCTAAGGGAGAATGCAAAGCCATGTTTGAGGAGGAGTGCTAAGGGGAAAAATTGAAGACCGTGATCTGAGATAAGAGTGGAGCCTGAAATCAGAGCTGAAGCAAAAGAGGAGGAGCTGAATGAAGGCAGAGCAGGTAAGGAAGCAAGCCGCCTGAGAATCTTTGGCATTTGATTTGGGGGTAGGACTGTGGTTCCACACTCATCAGCTTAATTTTAGTCCTCCAAGGAGGCAGGGAAGAGCAACCTGTACCAGGGCATGCAGCTCTCTCTCTCTCTCTCTCTCTCTCTCTCTCTCTCTCTCTCTCTCTCTCTCTCTCTCTCTCTCTCTCTCTCTCACACACACACACAC